CTCTGTGGCGTTTACTCTCCGTCTGAGCATGCTCTGTTCGCCTCCTCTCTGTGCCGCTGAGCAGTTGTCACCTCTGAATGAGAAATGGTGTTTGCTCTGCTCTCAGGCTGCAGCACTTTGCCATTTGCAGACCACTTGGCTCTGCTGCAGGGAGACTGTTTGCACGCCGCCCGACGTCACTGTTGATGTAAAGCTGCGCTCGGATCAAAGTGGGTCCAATAAAACGAAGGAAAGTCTCCTGCTGGATTGTTTTTTATCTCAGGACAGTTTTGATATCTTGTGACAGTTGCTCATTAACCGCTCGTCCATCACTTTACAGGACCAATAACCCATCTGAGGAACACCCTGTGCTTTAGATTGGTGACCTAGTTCAGGAAAACTTTGGTCTCTAGTTATTTTACTTTGCTCAGATCTCAGATAACCCTTGAACAAGAGAGGTTTTGTGTTCAATGTTTGATTAAAAATAAATAAATAAATAAATAAATAAAGGTAACTGAATATTTTGGTTATAAAACTAAAAAAATCATCATATTTAATTTCTAATTTAAAAGTCAAGCTGTGTCTCTCAGTATTATAGATAACTGGCGTGGCTGATGATGATTGAGAACTTAAATTGCCTAAAATCTGTGTTGATTCTGGAAATCAGTCAAAGGTCGTGGTAGGTTTGGAGATGGTTGGTGACCTTTAGTTAATGGTTTGCTTCATGGTTCATTTCAGTTCCCATTTTGATCCCAAACATGTTTCAGGTACAGATCGCTGTCCTGAAGTTCCCGTTACGTGTTTCCTCGTAATAACATGAATGCTTCAGTTTTTTTACTGCCGCATGGTTTCAGATGAACACAAAATGTCTGCCAGTGACAATGTCAACAGCTGCTGAGGCTTCTGCATTTAAAAAGTCACCGAATGGAGTGGAATTTATTATATTTATTTTGTGTAACTGCTTATCCTCCTCGGGGTCGTGGCTGGTCTGGAGCCAGCTGACATTGGAGTACATCTTGGACAGATCGCCTGACTGTCACAGGGCTGACACATGTGCCCTTTTCACACAGAGATGGCGCAGTAGAGCCGCTATGAAGTCCCCTTGTTACGCCTCCTTTACATTCTTACACAAATCCAAATGACGGCGGCATCATGTCGCTCTAGTGTGTGATGTCAGACAACATGATGACATCACAGAATCAAAACAGGCGTGACATGTAACACAACAGCGTCGGCCTCTGGTGTGACATATAACATACGTGTCAGAAGCTCTTTATAAACAATAACAATGACATCACATGTCAATAACAATCATTTAGCGTCCCTGTTATATGGCGGCTGATCTAGTCCTCTGCTCCGAGGGTAAGGAGCTCCTGGACCTCAGTGTTTTCACTATTTGTGGACATTTACTGTTCTTCTTCTTCTTCTTTGAGTTAGCTGCTAAGTGCTAACAGCTACTCTTTAAATCTCCCCCAGTGGGTCGCAAACATAACACATCGCCCAAACTTCATACCCGTCCTGCTGGCTGTCTGGTTTATACAGAAAGCCAGCAAGACGGGTATGAAGTGCTGTTTCTACTTCCTGTGACAGAGTAAAGGTGAGAACACTCTGTCCCCCCACTCTACGATGGTACCGTATATAGAGAACAGCGAGGCGACATAATGGTGTGATATTCCCGCCTTGACAGGCAGCGTAAAAGGGACCTATGTAAAAGTGTAGTGGAGTAATGGCGTCCTGAGCAGAGAATGAAGTCACGATCTCTCTACGTGTGATGTAATCTGAGCTTTTCTGGGGTTCGTTGTGCTAATGTGGTCCAGCTGTGCGGCCATGTTAGTATTTGTGTGTATTTCACTGTCTGGCTCATTGCTGCCACTTTGCAGTGTGCTCAATCAGTATCTGGATTGTGTTGTCACAGAGGCATAGCACTCACGCTCTGGTCCCTCCCAGGGTAACACTGCTCTGTCAGCACTGTTACTGTTTTTGGTGCTGTTTATGTGGTTAGCACCGTTAGCTGTTAGCCACCGGCTCAGCCACCTCTGTGTTTTTTGCCTTTATTGTTAGGACAGGAAAGGTGGGAGAGGAGGGGGGAAACACGCAGTAGAAACTGAACCCGAGTTGCTACAAAGGACTCAGCCTCCATGTCAAAGACTGGTCAAGATAACACGTACTCTTTTGCATAGCGCTCTTTAACGATACTGGTGTCAAACGATAGCCAGCCGTAGTTATTTGAGTGAACTGCGCCTTTAATTGTTTTTATGTGGTCACTACTTTTAAAACATGAATTCATTTGTTTCAGAGGGATGTTTGTCCCCCAGCTGCAGTAGTAGTTGTAGTATTATTGGTTGTTCATTCTACTCAGTGTGATTTAAGAAAGCTCTAAACAAGCAGCAGTTTGAGTCGTGGTGTTGAGAGCGGCGGTGTGTCAGGTTCAGAGGAGTCAGGAGCCTCTCGCCCTCTGAGGGGGCTGTTTGTCTGCCGGCTGAGCGTCCCTGCAGGCCCCGGCTGTATTAGCACCGAGAGAGCTGTAATTACAGCGTTAGTGTAGTTGTTAGCTAACCGCTGAGACCTGCAGAGAGGAAAGAGCTGCTCTCTTAAAACACAAACAGTGAGGCAGCAACATTCAGCAGAGCCTTCTGATATCAGAACACTGAGCTGGTTACAGGAATAATTCCTGTGTGCTGGTTAAACTCTTTATTTGCAGCGATAGCAGAGGAGCATTGCTGTAACATAGAGTCATGTGTTTGGCCTGTAAAGTCCTCGTTAACTTAACAACACCCTTGGCCTTTGACCTTGAGCCGCCCAGCCCACACAGCTGGCCTGGCCTGCACCTCTGCAGCTATGGTTGCCGGCTAAACTTTTCAATAACAAGAAGTTGCAGCACACTTGTTGCCTAGCTGCGAATAAAAACCTTTGTTATGCAACACACAGCAGGGATCTCCCTGAATCTTCTGACTGTGTTATCAGGTCTGTGCTGCAGTCGTGAAATATTAACGCCCTGGTTTAGAAGTGGGATGATGTAAATAAAAGAAGAAGATTCATCTGAGACAAATTAATATTTAGTAAAAAGTCTTTTTGTTGTTGACACGGCGGTGCAGAGATCTGTAAGTGTCTCCTGCAGCAGTGAGTCCTCTGCAGACTGAAGCTGCTCAGAGACTGTTTTGGAGGGCTGTGATTGGGCGTGTCAGCGGACTCACGGCACCCTGAGACCTACATCAGTAATGATACAATCTGTGACTGCATCTAAGTGTCCCCTGTGGAGCTCAGCTCCTCTGCTGCTGTGTCATCAAGCTGGAATTGATCAGGCAATAACACAGGCCGGGCACCGTACTGTACTATTACACTGTTTGTGTCCGTCGTGGTGTCAGCTTCACGTAATCATTTGCTGTGAGGTTTAATCATCTCAGCTCTCATGTTCTGCCGCCGAGCTGCATGTAGTGAAAAGGGAAGTTAGTGTTTACCTGCTGCTGACGGGCTCTTGTGTAACAACAGAGTGTGTGTGTGTGTGTGTGTGTTATCATATCTACATTACACGTCCCCTGTTCTTCAGAACTGGGTCAAATCACGTCAGACCAAAAAACCCATTTAATTCTAACTTATCAACATATTAATTCTGTTTTTGGGGTGAAATATTATTTTCAAAGGATTTTCATACGACATAAACATGATCAATAAAATATTTAGATCTGTTTTCTTTTATCTTCTTATCTTCTTAACTTGTCCTGTGCCAGAAAAAAGCCTCGTTCCAACTTTTTTGAAACATGTTGCAGCATCAGATTCAGAATAAATAACTTTTATTCACAAAAAACCCATAAAGTTTATTAAATAGATCTTTTACTGTCACTGTGTGTTACACAACCAAACTTTGTTGGAGCAATCCAGTTGGCAGCATATAAATGTTTACACATGCACCGACACACACACACACACACACACACACACACACACACACACATCCAGTTTCTTGTCTTTATACTTTTTTCAATTGAATACAGGTCTTAACAGATCTGTCAGTCATTGCGCTCTGTTTTTATGTCCCTGCACCGGCAATAATATAGATGACTTCTATAAGTCTTCACAAACGTCCACTGAAGAATAAACTAATTAGAATTTGGTGGACGAAGGTCAAAGGTTACTGTGACCTTACATCCATCTCCCTCCTTTAAACGCAATATCTCACGTAGATCTTGAGGAAATTTTGTCAAATTTGGCACAAACTTTACTCAGATTAACAATGAACTGGTTAGAGTTTGATGGTCAAAGGTCACTGGAACCTTGTCTGTCTCATTCCTGTGAACATGATATCCCAGGAACACCTTTAGAAATTTATTAAAACATTTGGCACAAACGTCCACTTGGACAGAAGAATGAACTGATTAGATGATTAGATTTGGTGGTCAAAGGTCAAACGATGTGTGGTCGAATGTGCCGCAGCATCAGATTCAGAATAAGTGAAACCAGTAACTTTAATCAGTGTGAACATTAAATATCTTTAAACTATGTTCAGTTGAATGTAGGTCAAAGAGGATCTGCAAATTATGGCGTCCTGTTTTTATTCAGATTTTACACAGTGTCACAACTTTATTGGAGTCGAGGTTGTAAATTTAATACCCTCAGGATTTTTTACTGCAGATAAAAATTAGAAAAGGTCGATTATTTTGTGTGAAATTTGAATGAGATTAAACTGATTTTCATCATTTAACAGTTTGATTGGTAAGAAAACACGATCCTGTGATAATGACGAGTTCCACATGGAGACACTGAGCTGTCTACTCTTGTTATTCCTGCCTTTTAATTCCCTCAATGTTCTCAGTCACACTTCTCAGTGCACATGTTGAACGTTCTTGTATAAAGTCTGTAACTCTCTGTGTGTGATTTACGGGGAGTCATTGGTGCCATCACTTGTTTCACCTCACTTACCTGCAGCATCACGTCACACCCGGACTGCTGCTGGAGCAGAGGACACAGTTTACATCTTCATCTTTAACCTTGAATCTCTCTTCTCTCCTCTTCCTCTCTTTCAGGTTGACGGGGCCCTCTGGTCACCTGACTGACGGTCCAGGAAACTACAAGTACAAGACTAAGTGCACCTGGCTGATCGAAGGACAGTAAGTAGAGAGCAGATCCAACACCAGGGGACACATACCAGACCAGGACTTTGCTGCTGTTTAAAGACTTTCTGAAAGAGTCTACTGAATTCTTTAATCAGCTCAGAAAACCTTTGAGAGCGTCTTGTAAATGAAAAGATAAGGGACGTAGTTTTCAGTAAAATGACGTATATTTAGGTGGATTTCTTTTGGTTGAATGAGTTTTGTTTCAGAAGGGGAACCTTTTTTTGTGGCTGAGCCTGAGACAGAAGGACCGAGCAGTAAAAACATACTTTGGAGTGATCATGGTGTAACAGACTACCTGTAGCACCTGATTTTATTCAGACAGTATGAATATGTTGTGCACAGTTGAGAGACAGATTGTGAAAACCGAGGCTGCGAGGCAGTTTGTCAAAGCTGCTCATAATAATTGTTGTAGACTGGCTGTGCTCTGCAGTCCTTCACTGAGATACCGTCCAGCGTTCGGACCGTACAGGATCCGCGAGATGATGGATGAACATAAACGGCAAAGTAACTGTGAGAAATCCAATACTCCTGCTCTATTGTTTTAGTCAGCATAACAACGCCACCGAGGATCGATTCACAGCCATGAGTCTTAATTTTTCTTGGCTGCCAGCTCATCCGAACCCAAACTCTTTGATTACATTTGCATTTCAGGCGTTCGGCCAACATTCAGCGGGGGATTAACCATGAGTGACTTTGTCGGGGCTCATGAGGTCACACTCATGTTTCCTTCGACCGGATGTGTAGATGTTTCAGGGTTTTGAACTTGTGACCGTCCTCTTCCTGTATAGCTTCTGTAATCACCAGGCCGCCCTGTCGTCCTGCGTTTTCATTACGTCCTGATGGCACGTTAATATGCCGTCTTGAGACCTCAGCTCGTTCGTAACAAGAGGTTAATGCAGTGACATGTGCGCCGTATGACAAGGAGGGCTCTGAGGCCTCGTCCATACGTTCAGTCTGCAGTCAGTGTGTCTGCAGCGGCCTGAAGTGACTCAGACTGAGTGAAGCTGGCTGTGCGCTGTGTTTGCCTCCACGCTCTCGGGGACCGCGGCGGTAATTGCTGATGTAGAATAGGAGTTTCTTTGTCAGATCCCTGAAGTCACTCTGTACTTCAGATTTATTATTTACTGGTCACAAGCCTTCGTCTCTAATCAAACCTCGAGGCTGCCGCTGCCTCCCTGTAAAATTATCCAGAAGAAAAATGTGAGCATTCATAACATTTCCTGTACATCGTAGCTTCACTAAATGGGCCTTTTGTGTGTTCTTCCCTCCTCTTTTGACTGATTTATTATGAACCAAATTTAGAGTAGACACAGTTTCATGAATCTCATGAATGTCTTTAATCCAAATCGAATTAAACAAGCTTGTTTTTCTTGTTTTTCTGTTTGCTGTCTTAAATATAAAGGCCATGGACGCTTAGTTTATTCATACTGCACAGTAACCTACTGTATCTGTGAAATGAGGCAATGCAGCTCTGTCAGATTTATTATTTGACACAGATAACAGAGGAAAATAAAAGAATATAAGGTTAATTTTTAGACAGTGAAGACAATGGAGTAGAGGCCCTGCTGGGTCTTTGTGGTGATCACACACAGGTTCACTGTGTTTATTCCATCTTGTGAAGGCTCTTTGTGAGGGTGCAATGTGGTCCCAATATAAAATCTAAAATGCAAGTCTCCTTCGAAAACAGTCCCAGGCACCCTGCAGGGGCTCTGCAGAATCCCCTTTATTTTGCAGTATGTATTTAAAATGACCATCTTCCTTCTTCTTCAGGGACTTTGTCAGTGGTAGCGTACACACCTCTATTGTGTGACACTGGCCTCTTTTACTCAGCCAGTACAGGTTGGGAATATCACGCAGTTATTCTGCGTCGCTGTTTTGTATTAAAGGTACAATTGTGGAACGAGGGACAGAGTTGTTGCGACTTAAAGCCGTCACAGGAGGTAGTTACAGCACCGGAAGGATGTCTGTATAAACAGGACAGCTGCAGGACAGGTGTGACGTTTTGATGACGTCTTTTGTGTGCGACCCACCGCAGGAGATTTAAAAAGTAGCTGCTAGCAGCTAGCAGCTAACTCAAAGAAGAAGAACATCAGCTGTTGGCAGCTAGCAGCTAACTCAAAGAAGAACAGTAGCTGTTAGCAGTTAGCAGCTAACTCAAAGAAGAAGAAGAACAGCTGTTAGCAGTTAGCAGCGAACTCAAAGACGAAGAACAGCAGCTATTAGCAGTTAGCAGCGAACTCAAACAATGAGGTCCAGGAGCTCCTTACCCTCCGAGCAGAGGATGAGATCAGCCGCCATATAACAGGGACGCTAAATGATTGTTATTGACATGTGATGTCCTGATTATATTAGGAAACAATACAGAGCTGGCTAACATTAGCCCTCCTGAGTGTCACTACATGTCCTTAACAGTTCATAATCAGATTCATGTAGCCCACAGTACTACTGGAGCCAACAGGAGCTTGAGACGCAGCTGACTGACAGAGACATGATCTGTCAGGACACCAGTAACTGGGAAAACAAATGTGCACATTTAGATTTTAAAAAAAAAAGACGTCAGTCAACATCACATAATGTGAGTTTCTTAATCAGGTGGAAGGATTTGTCAGTCAAAGGTGAAACAACAAAGATATGATGGGTCATAGTTTGATTTGCTGTACCTGATGCTTTGACCTCTGGCTCCATGAACGCTGACTCTGATGTCACGACCTTTCCTTCTTCATAGTTTCCTTGGAGGGTGTACTGAAGGGAAGGATGGAGGAGATGAGGGCAAGGGCAAACTAAAATGATCAAGAAGGAGATAAAAACAAAGTCAAGGCCAACCTGATCCCCTCCTTATGTACACATGATAAATTCCTCTACAGCCTGGTTCACAGTTTACTGTTCATGATGACAACCACGTATTAACTACAACTATACCAAATATTAGACCATTAGGTTTCTGTTGATTTAATCATTTATCCTGTGATGTAATGCAAACACAGATCCAGGGCAGGAGGAAACCGTCGACAGACAAATGCTCGTACTGTTCAGCTGTATGTGGTGAATGTTTGCACCGTATCAGCTGTTAATTATCCACCTGTCATGCTCTTAAAGCCCCATTTATTCTGCTCATGTGGTGAAAGTGGGAGTTGTGTTTGGTGAAACAGTAACTTTGTGTGCAGTGAATGTGACAGTGAAGGTGAGTGAGCAGGGATTTACAGGTTTGTTCAAAACATTAACGCTTCATATTTAACAGGTGAAGTTAATCTGTTGTACAGTGATGAAGGTGACAGGTGCTCTTATTCCCAAAGGTTCCCTCACACAGACCTCAGATCAGCGCTGAGGTTTATCTTCAGAATACAGTTTGTCAGCACTCCACACTCTGTTAAACTGGGGCTGCTGTTGGTTAGTCTTTTGTTTAGGAAGGTTTTTAACTGAGTGGAATTACCCAGAAGTCTCTGAGTGGCAGCCATGACAGGAGCTGGTCCAGTTGTATGTAAGGATGCTTCAGTGCTTCCTTTTTTGTCTCCTTTAGCATTGGATACACTGGACCTTCCTGTATGAAAGGAAAGAACATAATGCTGTCACGCAGTTCCTGTCGGCAGCAACATTTAAACCTACAGTATCTAATTTCCTGTCGCTACAGGTCTCTCAATCAAAACAGTAACAAAAGTGGTTTCTCCCGAGTTAAGTTGGATTTATACTTTTATCATTTATACTTCTGTGCCGTACCTACGCTGTAGCCTGAAGTGCAACTCACCAGAAATGTAACCACACGTCACAGTGACGCAGACCTCCTGTATGTCTTTGTAAGCTGAAACCATTTCCCTCAGTGGAAACAAAGCTTTGATTTACTTTAATTTCACAGATAAGAGCATTGTAAGTCCTGTGTGTGATTTATCCTGGCTTCATATCTGTAGAGAAAAACTCCGCTAGCTGCTAGGCTAATTTATACAATGTAAAATGCCATAGGCTTGTGCTATTAACGTTAGCATGTTGTATTTGTGGGGAAAATGTGTTTAGTGTAAGACAGTTGTTTTGTCAGTGAAACTTGTGAGCTGTAATGGAGCTGATTGTCTTAACGTTACCTTTGTTGCAGTTGTCCCTGGTTTCATATAAGTGGAGGAAAACTCCACTAAAACTCCGCTAATAACGTTAGCATGTTGTATTTGTGGGGAAAATGTGTCCAGATAAAGACAAGTGTTTGTCTGTGAATGCTGCGAGTTATAGAGAAGCTGATTTGTGTTTGAAACTGTCTCTATTAAGACATGTTTAATGTGTGTTTAATGTGCGTTTAATGTGCGTTTTGAATCAGTTAAACTTAACAGCACTTCACAGAAACACCACAGCCAACTAGTTTTTTTTGAAAGGGGGAAAGAGGGAGGATGGCATGCAGCAAAGGACCGTGGACTGGAATTGAACCTGTGGCTGTTGTGGCAAGGATATAGCCTTTTTACATGGGGCGCCTGTTCTACCTGCTGAACTATTGGCCCGTTATTCTGGCCAGAATTCTAAGAAACTTGGTGCTGTACAGCAAATCAGCCTGTGTTTTGTCCAGTTCTGTGCAGAACCATTGTAATCAAGGATGTATCATCAACGGAAGGCGTTGCACAGTGGAAAACAAAAGTAAACAGCAGTAGTAAACTTGTGGATTACATTGATTACCAGCAAACTTTTGGTCTTTTATTACCAGAATTTGTTTCTACCCTAAATAAATCCTGGACCAACTACTGATGAAACCACTGCATGCACTTTTTTCCTGATGACTTCTCACTTGACTTCTAACCTGTGGAATATGACACGCCCACTGATGTCGTCACAGTTTGCACTTCAGGTCAAGGAGAACCTGGTACTTTTTGGTTCCAGCTGAGGGTCATACTCACGCAGAACGAGCTGCAGCGTCGCGAGCAGCATTTTGAGTTGAGCATAAAAAAGGTTTTGTGCTCAGGGCTCGTTTGTTTCTGTCTGATTCCTCAGAGTTGGCCCAGGAACTGTGTTAAAAAAGATACTGTAATGCTCGATCCCAAAGTTAATTAATCATTTCAGAGGGTAGAAGCAGCCAAAGATACAACAGTGTTCTTGTTGCTACAACTCACAGGTTAATCAGCTGTGTCTTTGTTCTCTGAGATTCCTTTTTGTAAATTGATTTCCAGTTGTTTAGAATTAAAGTAACGACCAACATGGTCAGACAGATGTTCTTATGGTCATCCTCTGTGTGTGTGTGTGTGTGTGTGTGTTTTCCAGGCCCAACACTATACTGCGATTACGGTTCAACCACTTTGCCACTGAATGCAGCTGGGACCACCTCTACGTGTACGACGGAGACTCCATCTACGCCCCCCTTCTCGCTGCCTTCAGGTACGTCTGTATAGAGGTGGTTGGGTGTAGGTGTGAGTACAGGAAGTCTCTGTGTGGACTGGACTTCCTGAAGAGAAATCTGACTCTTACAGTTCAATCCAACATCTCTACATAAACGAGCAAAGGCTGTTGTGTTTCGCTTCTTGTCTTTTTGCTTCCTTCTTTTCTGTGTCAGTTTGGGAGTAGATCTGTATAAATATTAATAAAATGTTGTCACTTCCTGTTGCAGCGGTCTAATCGTTCCTGAGCGATATGGGAATGAGACGGTTCCTGAGGTGGTGTCTCAGTCCGGTTTCGCCCTCCTGCATTTCTTCAGTGATGCTGCTTACAATCTGACTGGGTTCAACATTTCCTACAGGTGAGAGAAGCGTGACTGCCTTCTGCTTTTTCATGTTTTAAAAGATAACCGAGGAAATACGGAGGTGATAATTGTTTTAAAACTGTGAGCTGGTTTTATTTTCAAAGGAAAAGTTGTGTAGTTTCTGGAACATAATCAAAAGCTTTGTCTACATCAAGCAGTGCAGTGTAGTCCAGTTCAGTTTGCCTATTTTTCCGAGGTGTTCTGGGCGTGTCCAGCTGGTAGGAGGCCCCGGGGCAGACCCACAACACACTGGAGGATTATATATCTCATTTATATACCTCGGGGTCCTCCAGGAGGAGCTGGAAAGTGTTGCAGAGGAGAGGGACGTCTGGAGCACTTTGCTCAGCCTGCTGTCCCTGTGACCCACCCTCGAATAAGCGGATGAAAATGGAAGGATGGAAAATTAATTATCAAATCAGGCAGTAACGTGACAGCTTTTCTTTTCTTGGTCAGCAGCAGAGAACAGCAGGTCGACTGTAGGAAACATTCACAATAAGAGACAGTGAGCGCAGCAGGTAGTGGTTTATCTGCACTGCAGAAAGTTGGTATTAAAACTGCTTCAGATATTCAGAATCGATATTTTTGACAACAGCAGTCTCAGGCCTTGTCTTTAGTTTAAAGACTCCACACATCAGGTTTTTCCTAACCTGGGTGTGTGGTGCAGCCCGGCCTCAGGGTGCGTTCATGACGGTGTCAGTCTCTGGATAAAAGAAGTTGCTAAATGACAGATACTTTGATACCCAGCCTCTGTGCAAATCATTTCTGTTTTACCGGCTGCTGAGTTTTCTGTAGGTGAAGGAGTCCCTCGACGCCCGTCCCTGGGACGTGATGACGCATACAAAGCTATCACTCTCTGCATGATTCAGCCTGCGCGCTGCCTCAGCTGGTCGACAGTGTTTCAGTGAGAGGATCACGTCAGGCTGCTGCAGCATGTTTCTGTTGCATCACTACACTGTAATCTACCGCGCCAGGTTTCCCACGTCTGTGTGACCAAACCAGACTCTAAATATCCCTCTGCCAAACCACACACACTGCTTTCTAAAGTCCGACAGCACTGACTCACTGTCAGATGAGCTGTGATACCTACAAACTAACATAAATGTTCAGTATGCAAGAATGACAAGAGGTGTTCCCAAAACAGGTCCTTCACCCTCCGTCCTACAGTGACCTCCTGTCATCAGATACAGTTCATCATCATAGATAAAATAAAACTGTGTGTACGTGCAGACAAATTAATCCACTGACGCACAAACTAATCTGTCACTTTATTTCACTTTCTCTTCCCTTTTCTTTCTTCCACTCTGCCTCAACAACATGACCGCACTGGTTTCACTTCACATTCACTCCCAGTAGTTAAAGCAGTAACTTATTTCACAGGAACACTTCTTGCTGCTTTTCTTTATTTCAACTGATACTTATACACATATTGTTACTTTACAGCATTTTAATGATATACTCACAGCACACATATCCGTGTAAACAGGCTGTGACGTATTTACTGGATAAAACATTTTCATTTATTTTATTTAAATTGGAGTTTAAAGTTTTGGTGCAACAGAATAAAACTGAATCTGATTTAGTGTAAAAACAAGATCGGTCACAGTTTAATCTTACTTTGTTTTAAGTTCATTTTAGAGTGTGGTGCAACATGATTTAAAGTTATATTTTGATTTAATTGGGTTTAAAATTAATCCAGCCTGTATGGAATCAGAGAAGGGACACAATAATACACAATAATTAGAACAGTATTGATGCTTTTTTATTGAATAAGCAACTGAACATCAAGTTGAGTAACGTTGCCATCACTGTGTCCTAAATGTTGACATTTAAATGCTGAATTTTTAGAATTAAAATAACCAGAATTTATATTGTACATTTTCATGAGAATTTCTAAAACATTTGTAAGGCTCACACCTTCAGACTGACAGTTAAAATGTTCAATATTCAAGAAACTGGCAGATTGCACAATAAAATATTACAGTGCTATAAATATGGTCACATTAAAATATTGATATTAACCGTTTGAGCTCTGCGGTAGAAACAGTGCCTGCGCTGGTATTTCTGCTTGTTGTGATGTCGTTTCTTTGAGTATCTTCAATTAATTCATATCTGTTAATCTGTACAACCTGAGCTAAAAGTTTATGTGAATCAGTAAACCAGAGTAGTTGATAAAATTGTTGAAATTATGTGAAAATCTTTAAAATCTTACATGTTTTTTCATCAAATTTGAAAAATAAACACACACACACATTTTGATGTCAAAGATTTCTAAATGTAGAAACATGATCAAAATATTTCTTAACACTCCATAAGTTATTTAACTATAACATTATTTCCTCAGTGTCTTCATCGGTGCTTTTTTGTGTTTCATATCCCTTAAATCTGAACAGCCTGAAAGTTAAAAGCTCAGGGAATTGATTAAAGCAGAATAATTTATAAACATATTGAAGTTGTGTCATAAATAAAAAAATACAACAGATATTCCTATCGACCTGCTTCTCTGCTCCTCTCGCACCACCACGCCTTTTCACTGTCTTTTGGACCGAGGGATGCAGAGGTCTACCAATTTGTAGGTATGCTGTGATATTAAAACTGATGAATATCACACCATGAACATTTGCTCATCTATGATATTGGGAAAAAAATGCAACTAGACGGAGAATCTTAACTTTATTTTCAAAAGGGAGACTTTTTACTTAAAGTGGTGTCAAGGTTCAGTTATAGTAATGAAATGTGTGTTTTACCAAGTATAACCCCTCTGGTTTCATTCCTTTAAGGCTGATTTATGATAATTACTCTATAATCCTGTTTCACCTACAATTTTCAGTTTCAGTTTCAGTTTATTTTATTTACAAAAGGACAGTACACATTAATCAACAGTGTTACTGTAAATGTGCCAGTTTTAACCAGCTGGCTAATTCGCAACTGCAGTCCTTTGGCAAGATGTTACAAAGAATCACAAACCTGAAAGATAAATATATTAAAAGTAGAAAGCATCATAGTATAAAATAACAATGACATAACACAGAACAGAATCCAGTCCATCAATGCACTATAGCCATATTGGACGCACAACACAGTGACAAATAAAGTGCACAAGCATAGCAGCACAGACTGCAGCAAGCGCAACAATTCACAAGAGTCATGCAGAAGCACGCAATAGCAGAAGACAGGCAAGCAGCACATAATCAGCCATGCAAATCAGAAGATGTACAGAGAAAGAAAGTTAGATGCAGAGCTAGACATGGCGGGCGACAAAGACACAGTAAGACTCCACTGGGATGACAATACATACCAAACTGTATATCTGGTTATATCTGTTAAGTTTCTCAAACTTAACAGTGACAAAACTGAACTCCTTCTCGTTGGCACCAAATCCACCCTTTCAAAGATAAACAATTTCTCCGTCTCCTTTGACAGCTCCTCAGTCGTCCCCCCCCAGGTTAAGAGTGTGGGTGTCATCCTTGACAGCACCCTATCATTCCAGTCCCACATCAACAATGTCACTCACTCAGCTTACTTCCATCTCCATAACATCTCACGCCTGCGCCCGTCCCTCACACCCAACAGTGCTGCCATCCTGGTCCACACCCTGGTTGCATCCCGTCTTGACTACTGTAACTCCCTTCTTTGTGGTTTACCATCCATAAACTGCAACTGGTTCAAAACTCTGCCACCAGAATCATTTCCAGAACTCTTCTAGTCGTATTACACCTGTCCTGCAGCAACTCCATTAGCTTCCAATCAAATACCGCACCACTAAAATCCTCCTTCTCACCTTCACGGCCATCAACAGCCTGCCCCTCAGTATCTTGCTGAGCTCCTTCACATTAACATACCCAGCCGTACTCTCAGGTCCTCCTCCTCCATTCAACTCACCCTCCCACCTGCTCGCTCATCCACCATGAGGTCGAGAGCCTTCAGCCGCTCGGCCCCCCGCCTCTGGAACTCTCTACCGCAGGACTTAAAACACTCGGACTCTGTCACCTCCTTCAAATCCCGCCTCAAAACTCACCTATTCAGACAGGCATACTCCCTTTAATCTGGACTGGAATGACCTCACTGTTGCACTTTTTTGACTGTCATGTTTTATGATTGTCTTTTGTACAGTGACCTTGAGTGTCCTGAAAGGCGCCTATAAATAAAATGTATTATTATTATTATTATTATTATTATTATTATACTGCAAAACTGTGAAAGCACAATATTTTCTGAGACAGTTATCGTTCCTTACTAAATCTGACACCATTGTCGCCCTGCTTGTAGCGTAACGACATCGCACATGGACGACTTGATGGCGTGAGAGACAGACTCAGCTTTCTGCTGCACAAAAACGAACACTCTCGTTGTTAGAGTTTTTATTATAGATTGATTTTAAACACCATCATAAAAACAACAACCTCCCACAGCCGCCTGCTGGAGATTCATTTCAGAGGGGTGAATAGTTAAGACTGGTTGAATTTTATAATCAGATATTCCGTAGATGATAAAATTTGAAGCACTATGGCCTTTCTGGGCTTCCATACACCATCATTAGTGTAGCTGTACCCAAGCTGTAAACTCATCTACTGTACTGAAGAGTTACAGTCTGGTACAGATTATGATGATACCCTGTGTTTTGCTTCTGATGCAACACTGCAACAGTAATCTGAACTTGAGCAACCTTTAAACACTTAGGATATAAATCAGTCGCCACAACACACTGTGCTGAATCATAACATCAGTTTATCACGCACCATAAAACAGAGTCCATCTGCTGACCTGTTTTTCTACAGGAGCTGTTATGGACAGACATATTTGAGGTCAAGATTGAACTTTTATCTCCTCCTGGTTTGGATCACTTTTCTCCTCTGTGCTCATTTCTTGTTTTTTGAACCTGAGATTATTGGGGGGAAAAGTGCAGCTTCACTCCACCCATGTGTCGTCCATTTCCTGCATGATGTCTCGTCTTGTGAGCTGTCAATGCCCCAATCTGACGTCAGCTTCTCAGAGAGCAGCTGGGACGTCTCTGCAGCATGAAAACACTTCTTTATAGATCTGTAATCAGGAACAATCCAGTGAAATAAAGACAGTAAAATGTATTAATTCCCATGTTTATATAAAACCATCTGCCTACACTGCTGCAGAAATCTAATCCATTCCTTCCTTGTATGGGTGTGACGCAGCTCCCACAGATCAAACTAAACTATACACAAAGTCACAAAGAGCCAGAAATGTCATTCACACTCTCTGAGCCGGTCGCTTCAGCTGGAGTAAAAAAGGAAAAGTATTCTGCAAACCAAAGTGAAGCTTGTCCGCTCCAAACATCTGCAGAGGACACAAAGGACCTCAGCATATTCCCCCATGCTCATTGGCACCGTCGCCATAGCGATGGGATTGAAGTTGGGCTGAGAAGCGCGGAGTCTGATAAAAGCAGAGTGCCCCTGGGCCCCCGGTCTTTGGTGTCTCACAGAGGTGGAGGAGTCGAAACATCAAACCGTGAAGCAGCCGGAGGAACATGAAAGAATGACGGAGGCCCTTTGTGTCGTCTGTCTCGCTCCCAAACATGTTTGTCTTCATGAGCGGGAAAAGAAACTAACGTCTCACTCCAGCGTCTCACTCTGATGGATAATAATCTGACAGTTTACAGCCAAACTTTTGACTCTGACTTGTTTACTCTTGTTATGTAAACAAACATTAACATCAGCTTGTTCACAGTTTGAAGTGTTTCACCTGTTAAAGGCTAAATGTGGAAATGTTCTACGTGTCTCCTGTCGTCAACAGACTCCTAAATACACCAAAACCAACGATGAAGTCAGTGTCTGATGTCACAGGTCAGCCTGTGAGTGATGTCACAAGATCTTCTTTTGTTGTTTATCTGCCATTTTTCTAGCCTTCATATTTGACATTACACAGCACCACCTATAGAGTAGGCTGCAATAATACAATGCATCTTGATTCTCCTCTACAGCCTGTGTTTTTCTGTATGTTTCTGTATCTTGATGTGGTTGAATATTATTTCTGACCTACATGATTCAAGTGTTTTAATACACTACAGTAACTTTTACATACACATACGGTTTGTATTTTTAGTCGGCTATTAAAATGAATAAAACTACCACGTCACGTCCGTGTTGCAGTGAATGGTAGGCAATTAAATCAGTGAAGTCTGCTGAAGTCTGCAGAAAGTCTGCTTGAGGCCCCTGGTGGATTGGTTTAACTGTGGATTTGTGGACTTCCTGGGAACAGGCCGGTAAAGTCCACGAGTCTGCAAGTGCAGTGAAATTCAGACATTTGGATTCAGCTGATGTAGCGTAAAGTGCAAATGTTGCTTTCTCTCTGTGAAGTTAAAGCAGGAGCAGCTTTCCAAAGACTTCTTTAGTTTTTGTTTTCAAACGTCTTGAATTTTAATTTTTTACCCTTTTTCCAGCTGTGTGTTCTTCAGTTGTCTTTGTGCACTGTGTTGTTGGACGTAAAGCCTTTCAAAGTGTTTTCATATCATGTCGTCTTAACAAAAGAGCATTTTGCAGGTGTATCAAAGGGATAGTGCACCCAAAAATGAAAATTCAGCCATTATCTACTCACCCATATGCCGAGGGAGGCTCAGGTGAAGTTTTAGAGTCCTCACAACACTTGCGGAGATCCAAGGGGAGAGGAGGTAGCAACACAACTCTGTTTTTAGCCTCATTATATCCTGTAGCTCTAACTGCCTCTCTGGGCACCGCACTCACGTGTGTACGTGAGACCAGCGAAAGCAAGTGAACACACATGAAGGCGGTGCACATGTCTCAGATCTCGTCTTTTGAGGCTAAAAACAGAGTTCAAATGAGTTTTTTTCCAAACAGCTTTTTATGTCGGGGCTTCAGGACACTTGGATCACTACGGACGAGCAGTATGGAGATATTTTGTGGTTTCAATAATGTGTTTTTGGACGTATGAATCTGGGGCGACGTCAGCCTCCATTAGGTGGAGTTGTGTTGCTACCTCCTCTCCCCTTGGATCTCTGCAAGTGATGTGAGGACTCTAAAACTTCACCTGAGCCTCCCTCGGCATATGGGTGAGTAGATAATGGCTGAATTTTCATTTTTGGGTGCACTATCCCTTTAACATCAGCCTCACACCCAAAATCCAGCATTGGTGTCACTTCTGTAGTGCAGTGGTTCCCAACTGGTGGGTCACAGGTCCTAAATGGACCGCAAGTAACTCACAAACATGTCAGGTTTGTAAAATGTGCACTTTATTTTTAAGTACATTGAATATACAGCGCAGAGCTTTTATTGTGAAGTGCTGTCTCCTGCTGTAGAGTGAGTGATCAACGGAGAGATACGTGACAGAGACAGCAAACTAGCTCGACGACATGTCCAAACACAAGTATGATGCTGAAGATATTAAACTGTGTGGACCTCTGAAAATCTGGACCAGTTGGGAATCATTGCTGTAGTGTGAGCTCAAACATGCAGGATGGAGTTTGGATGAAGGCGTAGTTCAAGGGGAACACCACCTGAATTAAGAGGCTTCAGACTTTATACCCTATGACATCACTAATGTGAGTTTAAACACTCTAGTTCTGGATTTGGGAGAGTTTACTCATATTTTTTGGGCTTTCTTAGACCACAGGAATAACATGATGAATTCTATGAAATGGGCGTAGTGTCCCTTTAACTGTGGGCGACAGCTGAACCCATTTTCAGGATGGACTTGTTGCACCTTTGTTGCCTCTGCACCACAGAAAGTCAAACAGGAACAGAGACGCCCTCTCGTTTCCTGTTTGTTCCGACACCTGAAATACTGTTGATGCTGAAGAGAAACATGAGGTCCAGAGTCAGAGGAGAGTGTGTTGCTGTGATTCCAGCTGTATGATGTTTGTATGTTCAGGTCTGTGTGGTTTTATTGGCTCACAGTGTGTCCTCTGGGTGCAAACAGAAACAGCTCAGTGACAACAGAAATGACCTGTTGAGACGTGCAGAGCTGTTTTACTGCAGATTGGCTGAGTTCACCATCTGCTCCTCTGGGCCTGTGGTGACTTTATGTCTGCCAATTACTTCAGCCTCTGGCTCGATGCTGTGTCGCTGCAGACGGCCCTCTGAGATGAATGACAAGTGTTGAGGCGGGCGCTTGACCAACTGATGAGGGAGGACGATGCCAGTAACAATCCGTCCTGCTGTCTGAAGGGGAAACGTTACAGCTTTAAGGCCGCACACGGCCGAGGAGCTGCTGCACCACAGCAGATGTAACCCAGCGGTCGAGAGGCGTTCCTGATGTTTTATTCAGGAACTTATTCAGGATGTGCATCTTCTCACCTTCTCTCTGTTTCCTCCTCTCTCTCCCTCTGCAGGGTGAATACATGTCCCAACAACTGCTCGGGGCGTGGCGAGTGTCGTGTGAGTAACTCCACAGGTGCGGTGTACTGTGAGTGTGAAGACAAGTGGAAGGGGCCGGCCTGTGACGTCCCCTACTGCCTGGCTGACTGTGGCAGCCCTGACAGAGGTCGCTGCGAGGGCAAATCCTGTGTCTGCAAGCCCGGATGGCAAGGTGGGCCGGCACTGCAGCCGCATCACTGCAGGCTGTCAGTGATGTCACCTCATTGTCTCATACATACAGCAGGTCTGAATAACCACAGTGTCATCAGGTTGGCTCATGCCAAGTCTTCCTCAGTGACTTCAGGAAGATCCTAACTGGCTCTGTGTTCTCAGGGGTCGATGATAAATATATATCTGCCAAGATTCACTGTTAACAGCCAGAATTATTAATACAGGATGTTCATGGAAATACAGTTTGCTCTCCTCGGATTTTCATTTCTGTTTTATGGAGCAGACACAGTGCTGTCAGCAGTGATGCAAGAACTGTAGATAGGCAGATAGACAGGAAGGTGGGTGTACTGTGCAGCCCTAAGTTGATGCATATTAAAAATGTGTTATGTTAATGGCTAAACACCCAGACACACCTATAGTTGGCTGTCGGTCAGTGTTGGGCCACTGGTGAGTATCTGTATAAGTCACCACAGTGTGTCCTGCACCGTTGCACCTGGTCAGCCCCAGATACTGAATCAGCATTGAATATTAAAACAACAAAATTTTGGTGGCAAGACTCAGTTTAACAGCATCAATACATACAATAAAAGGAAATATTTTAAAAATCAACAGTCACATATACATCATAAAAATACAAATGGCAGTTGTTCTTATTTCACAGCAGCAGGAGTTCAGTGTTACGGCGCTCACGGTGAACATGCAGGTTGTTTTGGAGGCGGGGGTTATGGGAAAAATCATTTTCAGTTTGTTGGTTGATCTGCGTGTGATTGTGCGTCTGCCTGAGGGGAGGAAAACAGTTGGTGTCCAGGATGTGACTGTGTCTCCTGATGTAACAGCCCCGTCTGTAGAGACGACTCGAGCGGACATCTCTCAGGTTAGGAAGTGGGGAGCCGGTGATTCACTGAGCCGTCTTAATTATCCACCGCAGGTCCTTCCTGTCTGCAGCAGAAGTACCAGACTGTACAGTGGTATGTCAGGACGCTCAGTGCAGGAGGAGGAGGTCATCAGGAGGTTTTTAGGGAGTCTGTCGCATTTCAGGGTTCTCAGGAAGAACAGGCGCTGCTGGGCCGTCTTCACCACATGGGTGGGGCTCAGGCTCCAGGTCAGGTCCTCAGACATGTGGACTACTGGCAACCTGCTGCACCTCATCTCAGCTGGTTGCACAAAGCACCTTAAGTTTGCTCCTTAAGTATGACACTTAAGATTTAGTTTTTCCATAGCTGAGGAAATTACTTAATGGTGTTGCTAGGAATCTCTTAAAGTTTAAAGACGTTCAGATGTTCACTGTACTGAGAGAGATTTTAAGTAACTTCTTAAGTATAAGTCTAAGACAAGGAGAAACACTTAAGGAAACTCTAAGGAGAAGACTTAAGGATGTTTTGTGCAACTGATTTTATTTAAAGGAAAATTTTTATTAAAGGTGCTTTGTGCAACAGATCATTGTCCTTGCACCGTGCAGACAGCAACAGGACCGCCTCTCCCTTGATGCAGAGTCCAGCGTAATGTTTCCCTGAAGTCGATGATGATTTCTTTTGGGGATTTTTGTGTTGAGGTTCAGATCATTGTCCCTGCACCATGCAGACAGTGACTGTGCGTCCCCCCTGTAGGCTGTTTCCCTGTCCTTTGATACACAGAGCTGTTGGGTCACAGTCAGAGAGGTGAATTCACAAACTATGCGACTTTTTCAGCTGTTGAACCAGCGTAAGACAAAAAGAAACTGTAATTTTCAAAGCACCTGTGATGGTGAAATGCGCTCCTGACTGCACCGCAGTGCAGACAGCGTCTTGGGTAATTTGCACAAGTTTGGCACATAAATGGCTTTTTAATGTGTGAATGAGCCTCACTGCAAAAAACAGTCCAATTCACAAAGATCAGCGGCGACAGACACACACACACACACACAGTGAGATCATCAGTGTCTTCACAGAGTTGGTGGAAACTGAAGCACTTCTATTCAGGGTGTCACGCCGACTCCCCAGTGATCCTGACAGCTCAGTTGTCGCCTCTGCAGCTCGTCGGTCAGGACTGGCAGCTTCAGTTTGCTCTCTGCTGTTGTTCTGCCTTCTGTGTTCCTGGTGCAAAGGAAACATCCGCTCTGCCTCACAGATAATTACAATCAGACGCAATAAAAACACAAATTGCCCCCTGCTGCAAAACTTTATGGCCTCTCCTCCTCCCGGCAGACATCAACGGGCATATGCACGCGCTTCATACAGTAACCCATTGTTCCCAATACTTCGATTTATTTAATCTTATTTCATTGCAGAGCTCATTCGCTCAGGCCCTCCTTCTCTCTCTCTGTCTGTTTATTAGACCACAAATTAGCCGAGGGGTGCGTTTGTAAATCCAATCTGACGCTCTGCACTTAAATGCAAGAGCTGCTGTTGGAAGACACTGTTTCTACATGAGTTAACCCAACGGTGAAGTTCATCACACATTCACTCCGATAGTGTGGCGCTCGGGATGACCCAACAGTTCACTCCAACAGCAAATTCCTGAACGGTCCAGTTTGTGCCAGAGTGTGCTCCAGCACTTGGAGTGAGTGTTTTTGAACGCCCTCAAGAATTAGCTGCTAGTCACTCCACGGTCCCTCCGCCTCACTCCCTGCTGCTGTGGACAGCTTCCCCAGGAGGAGAGCAGCTCTGGAGACGGAGCTCCTGTCGCTGATCGAAGTCAGTCAGCTCAAACTTCCTGGTACCAGATGTCACAGCAGGCTGGTGTCATAGCCACAGTGTCAGGTCTAACCTGTGTAACAGCAGCAACTGAAAGTTCGCTGATCCAGCGAGGAGTCGGGGCTGTCTGGTCCCTCGGAGCTGTGGGTTTGATCTGGCTGGATTTGTGTTGCTGCAGCTGCTGACTGGGGGTCTGTGTTCAGAGCTGCTGCCCACTCTCCTCCCAGTGAGGTGGTCTGTAGTGGATGGGAGTGAGGCGGAGGACACACTCTGATTTGAGGCTCTAGCTAACGTTGGCTACATGAACGTGAACTTGAAGCAGCAGCCGTTAGCAGAAGGCTAAACTATCAGCAACATTTTCTCTCTCTTTGTTGATACTGACTCGTGTTTTATTTCGTTTCTTGTCAGACTCTGTTTGATCAGTCCGTCTTCCTGTTGTGGGTTGCTCTGCAGTGTGAGAGCTGTTGTCAGTGCTGGAACTTTCTCTGCAGGATTCGCCTCCATTGATTCAGACTTTCATCGTCTGAAGGGACGTGCACGCTCATCTGCATATGTAGATCAGCCAGTAGGAACGCCCTCTCTCTGAAATGACCAGTGACTGGACAGAGCCTCCTGGAAGAGGAGCCAAGAAGAGGAGCAGAAGTCCAGTTTTCTCTCAGTGCACTTGAATTACAACAGGCTCGATGTTTATTATGGGATTTTTGCCCAGTGAAGCCAAAATGAAACTGCCGACCACAGCAGCAGCTTTAAGTGTCCAGTGTACCACCCACTGAGAGAGGCTGAAGGTGCAGTGGGACACAGCTCGTATAAACAGTGAAGACGTGTGTAATTAAGAGAAAGAAAAAGGTTTCCTCCTCCTGCTGCAGTGAGGGATGGTGTTCAGGATAATCTGGGTCTGAAAGGACGTATTTTTATTGGAGATATCTGTTTAAACAAAGTCCTGATTTCAGGATTTCAGTGAATTCTTCGATATAAAACCATCCTTCAGTCTACAAATACTAAGAAAACCTGATTATTCTGTAAAACATGTGAAGTCGGTTTGGTTTACTGTGAACAAAAAGAATTTGATTTTTACCCCCCAACACCACAGTGAACGTTTTTGTGTAATAAAAAAGAATTTAAGAAGAATCTCGATTCATTTCTAAATAACAATGATTCATTTGCTCCTATTTCCCTTCGCATTCACCTCATGCTGCGTTCACTTGTTGTTCTTGCTGCAGAACAATCCCAATTTCTATCAAGTGTTTCCTTTAACAACAGGATCCCCTGCCCCCCTGATAGAAAATAAATATTTGTTTATTGTTATTTACCCAGTTTATGTGCACTCGTTTCATTTTAGCTCAGTGTGAGAGCCTTTACTGTGTTTTCCTGTCGCTGGGCTGCGTTTCTGTCCCTCCTCCTTTCTCAAGAAACGCCACAGACACAGGTGACGTTACGTGAGTTAACAACCTCTCATTACATTTCAGTAAGTGCAATAAAATCTTCCAAGTAAGTGTAAAACAAAGACTAGTCTAGTCAAACTAGTCGAGCTGAAACTGACAGGCTCCTCCCCCTTTAACAGTCGTGTGTCGTCTGTGCAGCAGCTCAGAGTTTCAACGCGTCTGTGTTCAGAACATTTGTAGCTTTAAAGTGAATCTCTGTGGTTTGGCGTTTAGTCTCTCTCCTGCGTTCACACATCTGCCTTATTTTACTGTGTCATGTTCGCTTTCAGTTTGATAGGATTCATGTTCAGTTACTGCAGATGAAAACCCAGTATTTCCTGTTTTGGCAGCTTCACAATAAAAGCTATCCAATAACAAAACAGCATGGACTTTTATTGTGAAGAATGTTCAGGAAATGAAACGCCCACTGTTTTACAGCCGCTTATATCAAGACAAAGGCATCATATAATGGTCAGTTTGTGTTATTAATTTGAAAGCTGTGACTTTGTTTTTAATATACAGCATTTTAGTACATGGCTGTGATGTAGGGCTGGACGATGTGACGTTTTAAGGGGACAGAACAGAAACACACACAGTGGGAAAGGTATAAACAGAATTAAAAAAGAAAAGAAATTACTGACGTGCAGGATTACGTCGGTTAGAGGTTCTGAATTGGATTAATTTTCGATTAATTGCCCAGCGCTACTAAGTTTCACTTGAGCATCTAAGAGTGCAAGAAATGTTTGTTTTTATTTTTTATAAATAATAACCATGTTAGAGAATCATGGTCTCAATATTTAGGGAGAAAAATTGTGATTAATATTTTATCAAGAATCGTGCAGCCCTAATTTCACATCACCTTTTTCATCATAGATTCTCTGACACTATTTATTTTTTAATAATTTTCATATCACAAACTTTGAGATAATTTCATGTAGATTTTCCTTTTAATCAAACCCAGGAATAAATAAAAACTGTTCTCAGTAAATATCCGTTGCAGCAGAGCTCTGAGCGGCTCCTCTGAAGCAGTTGGAGGTTTAGTAAAGAGTGTGACTGACTTTATCCGTCCAGATTTTGCCTGTTTATCTGGTGATTCAACCCAGCGCCTCTTCAGCAGCTCTAAACCTCCACCAGTGTTATGGAGGCTCCTGCTGCCCCCACAGCCTCCATCTGCTGGAACCTGATGGACTTCACATGAACTTTCTGCAGCATCAGCTTCCTGCTCTGTTTTATTTATATTTCCTGAGATGACCTGACACTACTGTATCTTTGAATCAGACCATATGGGCGTCCTAACAGCTCTATTAGTTCTTAAACGGCTCCACTGCGCCGCTCCGCACAAGCAGAGACAACGGCTTAATTTAACTGCAGTTATATCAGCAGCTCAGTGTGCTCACCATCTAATTACTGAAGCTGAGGGAGTTGGGAAACAGACTGGCGTTTTCTTTAGCCTTTATTACCCTGTCATGGTGTGTTAGCCGAGGAATAGCACACTTAGTGTACTCCGTGCTGCCAGCTCCCAAATGAACTCATTTTCTACACCAACCAGTGCAGACGCAGACAGATGCCTGTTTAGTCAAGCCAGTAGTGCATTTAATCTCTCTTTCACAGATGTGGAGCCTTCAACAAATTACGTCTATAAGGGAAGTCAGGCTGTTTTATTTATAGAAATAATAACCAGGGTGCAGAGGTACTTTGGTGTGCTCGGTGATACTGCAGGAAGATAGGCCACCAGGGTTTTTCGTTTTCAGCCAGTGAAGAAAACAAAAAGGGGAACGGGTTAAGTGACCTTGATTGTGAATCACAACACTTCCTGTGCTGGCACGTGGGCACTTCGGCATTGTTTGGATAATGATCAATAGGCAGCTCCCCCAGCGGGTCACTTCCTGTTTCTCCTGTATGATGGAGTGGAAGCAGTAATTAGCTGGTAAATGTTTTATTCCAGGCAGGTTTTATCTTCGTCTTTCATCAGGCAGGACGGACAGGACCAACAAACTGCCCCTTAACCTGTACGGTTTAAACGATCAACTGGGGTGCGGTCAATCTTTCTATTTCTGACTTTGCAGTTGTTTTCCAAAGAACGTCTCCGAGTCTTTTCCCCTCATTGAGAAGTGATTCCGGTTTACGGTGCCGTCATTGTTCTTGTTCAGTAACAGGGGACAGCTGCTCCGGCTGCTCCGGCCAGGGCCATCCGTCTGGAAACAAGTCATCAAATCCAAAAAGCTTTAAAGGGATAGTTCTGATCTTTGGAAGTGGCGTCTGTGTGTAACCTACAGTAGATGGACGTCAGTGCACCGCCAGTTTAGAGAAGCAGACTGGAGTACTGACACAGAAGCTCAGCTAACGTACAGCTGTGGACAGAGGCAGCAGGAAAACATATCATAGCCGCCTAAAACAATCAATATCAGTTTAGTTTGCACTGTATTTAGAATATTTTCACCACTTCATCTCGCTGTCAGACCGCTGCTTCTGACGAGGAAGTCGTTCCCCATCAATGCTCTCTTCAAAGCCAGACTGCATTGACAGAAACAGCTTCTCAGTGGAGTCGGGCTTTAAAGAGAGCGATATAACAGCTTCAGTTCACTGTAGCTATCTGATGGTAAGGTAAAGCAGTGAAAGTGCTCTAAATATAACTGATATTGATTTCTTTATGGGGCTCACTGCTAAAATATATGGGACACAGACAGGGTGTGACATATCTGCCTCAGCAGAGTGCGTCCATTATCAACTGAAGCTGCTACACTGACCATGGAGGCCATGTTTGCCTGCTCCGGCATCACAACACTGATTCTCTAATTTTACGTGGCTGATCTACTTTAACGCCTCTGCGCCGATGAAAGCTGTGACCCAAGGCATTCAGTTTTTGGGTTGTCCATCTGTCCCATTTTTGCAAACTTGATATCTCAAGAACAACAAGAAGGAATTTCTTCAAATTTGGCACAAACGTTCCCTTTGAGTCGAGGATAAGTGATAAGAATTTGGTGGTCAAAGGTCACAGTGACCTTTTGTCTCTCTTATTTTTTGGTAAATGTGATATCTGAAGAAAGTTTCTCAATTTTGGCACAAATGTCCACTTGGTCTCCTTGATTTTGTTGGTCAAAGGTCAGTGTGACCTCAGTGTTTTTGGCTTTAACTCAAGAATTCTAATACTGAGGGGAGACATTTGGGAATTTCTTCAGATTTGACGCAAACTAGATTAGATCTTGGTGGTCGAAGGTTTCAGGTCAAGGTCAGTGTGACCTCACAAAACATGTTTCTGTGCCTCCACGCTGGTGATAGCTGTGGCTGTAGGCTTTATGTTTTCAGGTTGTCCATCCATCAGTTCGTTCGTTCCATCCTTGTAAACATGATATCTCAAGAACACTTCAAGGGAATGTCTTCAAATGTGGCACAAACATCCACATAGACTGACGAATAAACTGATGAGAATTTGGTGGTTGAAGGTCAAAGGTCAGTGTGACCTCACAAAACATGTTTTTGTCCATAACTGAAGAATTCATTCACTAATTCTGACCAAACTTGACACAAATGTCTAACAGGATAAAATAATGAGGGTCAAAAGGTCAAAGTTCAGCTTGACTGTGACATCATCATGTTTTAACGTCTTATCTCAGGAACAGAAGAGATACTGAATTGGTGACTCTAATCTTGAAACTGTGCTGATCGTATAGATCTTCTGTGTGGGCCCAGACATGAAACAAGTTGTATTTTAAAATGTGTTTACGAACACGTTGTCGAGATTTAAGAAAAAGAAAGTGCAGGTAATGTACAGTACCCTACAGAACTCCTAAGACTAACCGAAAACCTGGAGACTAAACTTCCTTGATGCTGTCTGCTACACGGACATTTATTCCATCAGTCTGAACGTTGGTTTCAAAAGTAAGACAGATTTTCTTTTGGCCAAAAATGGCTCTTTTGATAGTGAAGGTTGCCGACCCCTGGTGTAGCAGGTGAAACACCCTGCTCTGTCCTGCCTTCATGATGCGCCACGTCCGTGCCCCCGTGTGTTCTGGCTGTTAAAGATGTTTTGCTTCTGCATCCTTCCACAGCAACACATTACCGCTACTCCTGCTTCTCCAAACTGGGGACGATCCGACAGGCGTCTGCTGTTGGTAACACACTGACTGTGGATCAATACGTCACACAACCTCCCTTCAAAAGATATGAACTCTCCATTTATCAGTTCGTTTCCTGAAAGACAGTTCAGGCAGTTAAATCTCGAATGAATGGAAAAAATAAATTAAAAGAACGAATAACGTTTTGTCCATTTGCTTTACACAGCAGATAATACTTTCTGATGCTAAATTACTCCACCTGTATAATCACTCAGTTATCTGAAGGCTTTAAACACTTCTTTAACCTCTCTGCCCTCGTCTTTCACCTCTCGCTTTCATTATTCAGGAGAAATCAATAATGGATTTTTTTTTTTTCACCTACACAGTCAATTCATGGGAAGTTTCTGTACGCTGCTGCAGGACGTTAAAGTGAACTGATGAAGTCTGTGGAAGTTTAATCCTCCTTTGATGCAGGAAGCACAGACAGATTAGATTTTTTGTTTTTATTTGTATTTATCTGGTCTGTATTTATTTTCATCTGGAAGGTTGGAGCATCGTGTTTATCGTGTATGAGTGATCTTCCTGCATCATCTCATCTCCCGTGGAGCCCTGACTCTGTGGTTTCCTCCCTCCTCAGGTCCAGACTGCTCCGTCTCAGTGCCTGCCAACTCCTCCTTCTGGAGCCGGGAGGAGTACACTGAGGCCGGGCTGGCGAGGGCTTCCCACAAGGCCGTGGTGGACCAGGGCATCATGTGGGTTATTGGAGGCTACGTCTTCAACGCCTCCGACTATCACATGGTCAAAGCGTAAGTACTCTCCCCTGTGAGCGTGTTTGGCTGCTGCTCTCCACCAACTCGAGCCCTGCTGTTGCTATGCGACTGTAGGGAATGTGCTTCTGAAACACAGCTTCTCTGTTGCAGAAATCTCAATATTTTTAACTTCCACGCCTGTTACACTGAGCGCTAAAGTAATACTTGGCTGTCAGGAAGTCCTGCAGCTTCTTCTTGAAAACGCTGTCTGTTGAAAATCAACAAGAACACGGCTCAGCACAGACGGCTGTGTGTCGGGCACACACGCTGAAGGATGTAATTAAAACCGTAAAATTACAGGATAGAGCGACGCTCCTCGCCCTGAACTCCACCCAGGACGCTCACACTTATCCCCTCGGCTCATAGTTTGGTTTTATGGTTGCGTGCAGGCCGAGAGCCTGTTATTTCTGCTCAAGGTCAATCACATGAGACTGTATAGGAGCTCTGTGCCAACTCTGCACTGCTTCTTCACAGAGGGATCAGACGATAGCAAAACGATCCTCCTCAGTGCAGCTGTGTAGCTTGTTACTGATGGAGCTGCAGTGTGTTTCACTGCTTTCATACAGTCTGTGAAATAAAACCAAACCTCTGATCTGAAGGAAAGAAACACAGTGAGGCCCTGATGACTCTTCTGTCTGATGAGTAGTAGGCACGTAGGTTCAGCAGGTTCACATGTCAGAGGCTGCTGAGACTGAGCTTGTAAAGGTGAAAAGGGAAGCAACATGAAACCAGATGTTTGGTGAAATAAAGTTATTTATTAACAAAGGAAATCAACTTAAGTCAAGGCCAGTCTACAAAGGAAAGGGCTCGTGGGTGCTGTTCAACTCAAAGAAAGGAATTTAACAAACAGAGAGCTGCTAATCTTATCCAACAAAATCAAAAGCGGAAATGAAAACCCAGCTGTGCTAAATGTGTCAGTGAAAACAAAACACAAATAGGAGGAAGATACACTTTGTTTGTTTTTTCACTCTGTAGTCATAGATACACAGGCCTGAAATACACACACATGCACAAACAGGACCCATACATGCATTAAATGGAGAGATGTCAGAGCAAGGGGCCCAAAAATCTGGCACAAATGTCCACTTGGACTTAACGATGAACTGACTGTTGTTAGTGGTCGTGGGTCAGAAGTCAGGGTCACTGTGATCTTGTCTGTCTTATTCGCGTGTACGTGATATCTCAAGAACAGCTTGAGGGAATTTTTTTTTATTTGGCACAAACGTCCACTTGGACTAAAGAATAAACTGATGAGAATGTGGTGGTTTGAAGGTCAAAGGTCAGTGTGACCTCACAAAACATGTTTTTGTCCACAACTCAAGAATTTACACATTCTGACAAAACTTGACACAAATGTCTAACAGGATCAGATAATGAAGGTCAAAGGTCAGCACAGCAACCACGTGGGTGTTTACTTTAAATGATCCAGTTAATTCATGTAGTACCAGGTAATATAACATGTACCTCCAAACCATCCATGACGAATTATTAAACATTATCACCTGTCAAGTCTCAATATTCACACAGTGAAGCTGGCAGCAACTATTCACAGTTTTTATTCACAAAAACAGAAACCTGACTCGTGCACAGACGTATAAAACCACAGGGTGCTGATTCTAGTTCACCGCAGTCCTTGTCGTTTGACACTTTGGTTTTAATGCAACATTTTTTAATCAAAATGTTTAAAAAATTACCAGATCTTTGTTTATATTTTGTTGAGTTGCGTACTTAGTTATCCCGCATGTTTCCAACAGTGTTCAAACTCAGAAATCGAACCCACAGAGCAGTGAGGAGAGGACGTGAGAGGTTGTAAGCAAAGGTTTGAAACATGTTAATAATTCAATGTATGTATTATGTGAAGCCCCATTTGGTTTTTTGCAGTTATACTTGTGGTCACTTGGTAAAAAAAAAGATGTATATATAAATTCTATTTTTTCTCAATTTTTGTATATATTTTCTAGATAAAAATAACTGTGTTTTACATTTGAAAATGTCATGACATTTTTTAAGTTCCTCCTGCTTAGAGCCCTGATTTAGCTGTTTACATGGAGGTGCAGGTCGTATTTATTGCAGTGATGAAGATCTGACAGGAGCAAAGAACAGAGACTGACACTGCTCAGTGACCTTTGACGTTCTTGGAGACAACAAAAAATAAATAGTGATAATAATAAATTAATAAAACAAAAACCACCATCTGTGCTAAAATAGTAGTGTGACTGTCACATGGTTGGATTTCTTTAAAGCTGTCCTGTGATGTCACCTCACCTTCCTGTTGTCTCTCTGCAGGTATAACCTCAGCTCCAGGAGCTGGCTGACCCTTGACCCCTCCGTCCACACTGTCACGCCACGATACGGCCACTCGCTGGCTCTTCATGAGGTGAGTAGAGGGAGAAGTGTGTATCCTCTGTGACTCAGGATGTACATAAAGACAGCGTGACTCCACACTGTGCTGTGTGATATTATCCTGGTGTCTTTACATGCAGCTTCTCAGTGTGATCTGAAGAAGAGAAAAGACCAGTTGACAACTAAATGAAATGAGGCAGAAACATTATAAACTCTGCGTCCTCTTATTTATGCTTTCAGTGGAGTCTGTCTGTTGTCTGGAACTAATATTTAAATCTGAGGGTTTTGATATGCTGCAGTGAAGTGCTGAAGCCAGAAAGACTGTGCGGAGCCGCTGATGGAATAATAAATTAGGGAGAGGAGGATTCAGAGGAAGACGCAGCGTGTCTGCTCCGAGGTTTCAGAGAGGCGACTTTGAGCCGCAGACTGTTTGTAATACACAAATTGCATCACGGCGTGCGGATGTGCGCTGCAGCTCAATGTGGGCCTCGCAGACAAAAGTGGAATCAAATCAGTCCTGATGCATGACAGATAGAAGTGATTTAAGTCTCGCAGCAGCACATAATGTACTGATTCAGCCTCTCAAGCAAACGTCGCCTCGCCGCTTTATAAACAGATGAAGACGCCACGACTCCTCTGTCTCTCCTGGAAACAAATAATCTGAGTGTTTGTGAAATCGAGTTGTTTCCTGTGACTTTAATACGACCGCTAAACGCTCTTTTTGTTACGATTATATGATGAGATAACTCTCTGAGAGGCAGCACAGCAGGTTAGGGACTGTTCATTACTTATACGAGGGGAGGCAGGGTGCAGAAAGGGGGGAGGCAGGTCAAGTAATTGTTGAAGCACCGGGGAGGGACTTATTTTTTTATTTTGGCTGAGGGGAGGGGCAGAGAAAAAAGTTAAATAAATATAATTAAATAAATAAATATAGTAAAAATAATAATAATATAAAAATAATTAATTAATAGTTGTATTTTGTATTTATTTTACTGCCAATTTTTAATGATAACATGCCTTCCTAACTCTGGCAGTTTTCCAAATGTGATATAATTTTCATGAGTTTTTTTTTTCTTGACTTAAAATTTTATTTTAAACAAAGTTGGAGCAAATTTTCCAGCTTATAATTGCATAGTTTTCCAGGTTCCCCCCCCCCCCCTTTTTTAAAGATAAAGTAATAAAGCGATCAAATAAAATAAAACATTAACTGTGTGAGCATTCATATATGCAGAAGTGGTATTAGTGCTAAATTAAATAACGATAAACTTACAAAGGATGTTTTAACCCTTGACAAAACTGTTATTGGTTACAATATTAGTCAAGAAGAAATAAACAAATATATTAATTGAAATAAATTAGAAAACATTTTAAAAAACAAAACTAGGGGATCCAAGTCCAAGTACCCTTGACCCCTAAAGTCCAATTCATTTGAGTAGTGATAACACTGCGTACTGTACCTGGGCTCGGTACGCCGCTCTGTGCCTGAAGTCACTTTAAAAGGTGGTCTCCAGTATGGTGTATGTGTACTCTGGTACACAGGTACACATCAGGTGTGAACACCAACAGAGAAACAGCTGTTTCATGACACAGCGACATACGAACCAGTCAACTCAAACTTTGGGGAGTGGTTGCATTATACGTGACAAATGTAACATGGACTTCCCTGGGTGAGTGTGACCTCTCCTATCTGAAGGGTGTGTGGTCACCGTTTAGAAAGTCTTGCCTCTGGCGACGTCCTCCTGGCGTGTCCATTCAGCTCAAAGTCCTCCCAGCTCTCTGCCCAGGTGCAGCTAATAGCGGCTAATGAGTTAACACCACCAACCCCTAAATGTGACGTCATTGCTGACCCTTCTTTCTGCCACCTGCCTAAACTACACACCCATCTACAAGACATTTATCAAACTACTAACAAAGCCATCAGAACACCTCTCGTTGTCAGAAAATCAACCAAATGTACAAAAAAATCAATCACGTCTAAAACTGAACAAATCAGCTGTGAAGCTCACAAACTGAGGTGCAAACACTGCTCATGGTAAAAACTCTCAGGACTCTGTCTCAGGAGGGTTCCTCTGTCTGCAACACTGAACACTTGATTTGTAACCTGTGTTTATTTTTAGTATTAAATCAGGGGAGTAAAACTTGTGGCTCTGAATATCAGGAGGCGTCATCATGTCTGAGCTCCAGAGTCAGACTGACGTGATCATGACCTGTCTTATTATTCACATCTCAAGGACAGATGGAAGGTTATCATCGCTCAGCTTTTATTTTTCTTGGAAAATCCCAGGTTGTGTTTAAGTTTCATTATTAGATTTCATTAGATTGATGGTTCATGATCACCACAGTGGAACTGGGCTTTAATCTGGGCTTTGATTCAGTCCTGATCAGTCAGCGGGAACACAGTCAGTCTCAGTTTTGGATGTTTCCTCAGGAAAAGATCACGTTCTGGCTTTAAAGAACTCACCTTTAGAGGCACAATCCTGCTGGAAACGCAGAGATGTTCTGGTCAACGGACAGCCAACCAAATACAATCTTGGTGGTGGATCCACAGAGGACCATCAGGGTCGTGTTTAACAAAGTCTTTGAAATTTAAACTTTCATGTGTTGATGTCACTGGATGTTTGTTGAGTCTGACTGTATGATCTGACTCTGCTCCTCAGGGGAAGATCTACATGTACGGAGGAAAGATCGACTCCACAGGAAACGTCTCCAGCCAGCTGTGGGTGTTCCACATCCAGAACCAGACCTGGGTCCTCCTGAGCCCACGAGCCAAAGAGCACTACGCCGTGGTGGGACACTCGGCCCACATCGTGCCTCCCGTCCAGGAGGGGGCCAATCCCGTCATGCTGGTGATGTTTGGACACTGTCCTCTGTACGGATACATCAGCCTGGTGCAGGAGTACAACATCGGTAAGTGGCGAGCAGAGAGCTGCAGGTCCGTGGACTCCTCTTCACATTTGTGCTCCAAACCTTTAGCTGCTTCCTGACTTAATATCGTGCCCTGATAAATCAGTTTATAACAACCGCAGATTAACAGCAGCCACCAAGACGAAGCTAACGAGCTTTGGACTCTGTTCCTGGTTGGCAGGCGCCCAAACTCAATTAAGAGGTCTCATTGTTTTCTAAAAGCCAATCTGTCTGAGAGAATGGGACGAATGAAGCTGCCGCTGTGGCCGATGGACATGATTGCATGTCCTGTTTGCTCACAAATGAAGGTGATTATCGTTACCTGAATGGTCACCAATAAAATCTGATGGCAGTTTGATGCCACTTCTGCACTCGTGATGCATTTCAGGAACAATAAGACAAGATTTATATCAGCGTAACTGTCTTTAGCTAATAAAGCGCAGTGTAAACTGAGTTCAGCTGAAATCACCTCCGTGACAAAGACCTGTCTGAACCTCTCTGCACTCTCCTTCACTTTGTCACATCATCATGTTCTGTTTCTTTGTGTGACCCTCCAGTGAAGAACACATGGAGCCTGGTGTCCACAGACGGCGCTCTGGTCCAGGGCGGCTACGGCCACAGCAGCGTGTTTGACCCCAGCACCAGAGCCATCTACATCCACGGAGGCTACAAGGCTTTCAGCGCCAACAAGTACGGCCTGGCAGGAGACCTGTACAAGTTCGACGTGGACAAGAGGAAATGGTGAGGATTTGTTTTGGGGCGGGTAAAGCAGAGTCCTGCATGGGTCCATTTCTGAAAACCTGTACCCACCTGCCCACGGTAAAGCTCAGTACCAGAACCGACCTGTTACCCTTCATTATGTCTCAGTCAAAGAGTCTTGCGTCCCGACCCTCCACCCGTGATCAAACCCCCCCAGGCTCCAGTCCCTCACATGAAGCTGGTTCTCCGTTCTTGAATTGGACGTCTTTTTGACTGGATGGTGAAAACATTCAATCACTGCCAGGTTAGGAAACATGTTAGCATGCTCCTTCCACCACCATCAAACCTCCAAAGGATCTGAACTCCATGTAGGCTGCCACCTCGTTTACATCTGGATCTACATCTGGGTATGAAAGATGTGGCTTTATAAAAGGTTTAAGACGCCACTTCACTGTCTCTCCTGAATAATCCAAGCATTTGTGAAATAGAGTGTTTTTTTCTTGTGACTTTAAAGGGATAGTGCACCCAAAAATGAACATTCAGCCATTATCTACTCACCCATATGCCGAGGGAGGCTCAGGTGAAGTTTTAGAGTCCTCACATCACTTGCAGAGATCCAAGGGGAGAGGAGGTAGCAACACAACTCCACCTAATGGAGGCTGACGGCGCCCCAGATTCAGATTCCAGCTCTAACTGCCTCTCTGTGCACCGTGCTCACGTGTGCGCGAGAAAGCATGTGAACACACATGAAGGCGGTGTCCATGTCTCACGGTCTCGCACATGTGAGCGCGGTGCACAGAGAGGCAGTCAGAGCTGCAGGCTACAATGAGGCTAAAAACATAGTTCAAATGAGGTTTTTCCAAACAACTTTTTAAGTCGGGGCTTCAGGACACTTGGATCACTACGGACGAGCAGTATGGAGATATTTTGTGGTTTCAGTGATGTGTTTTTGGACGTTTGAATCTGGGGCGCCGTCAGCCTCCATTAGGTGGAGATGTGTTGCTACCTCCTCTCCCCTTGGATCTCTGCAAGTGATGTGAGGACTCTAAAACTTCACCTGAGCCTCCCTCGGCATATGGGTGAGTAGATAATGGCTGAATTTTCATTTTTGGGTGCACTATCCCTTTAATACACCTGCAAAATGCTCTTTTGTTAAGATGATATGATATGAAAACACTTTGAAAGGCAAATCAGTAGGTTAGGGACTGTTCATTATTTATCAACCACCAGTTTTTGTTTTTTTTTTTAAAAAACACACCTTCCAAACCCACTTTTCCTTTACAAATTGCCAATTTCTCACTATTTGTCACAGCCACAAACTGTAAAAACAGAAACCATCATTCGATTTTCAAGTTTCCAGTGGTCCTTGAACTCATCATGTGGGTGAACCCTTCCAGCAGAAAAAAAATCCAAAAGAGATCTGAGTTTAAAATAGTCATGTTTCATGGAAATCACTTTATTCTGTCTCATTTAAAATTTGACCAAAAAGAACTTTTTTATGAACCAATCATGAATGATAAAAGTAATAATTATAATGTTAACCTTTATTTATAGAGAAATGCAGCACAAAGTGCTTCACAGTGAGGACATTATAAGCTCTGAGAGCTTCACATGAAAACAGACAGAGTGAACATATCTCTTCATTCTGTTGCCCAGAATAAACCATTTGTTTGAACCAGGTCCTGTAAAAACATTAGATTTAACCGGGAGGCCCTGAATGACTCGACTCTGCTGAGAGCGACAGTCATGTGACAAACATTCAGTGAAACTTTGACCTGCAGGCTGTTTACACACTCAGAGGACAGGAGAGGTTGTAAAACTGTAAACTGTAGGGCTGTAATTAACCAAAGATAATCTAGGTCAACCGGAATTTTACTGACTCTTTGACCATCCGATTGGTGGATGGGTTAAAAAACATCTGCAGGGGTTATCTCTAGATTAACTATGTTGTTACCAAGTGTTCTTCAACTGGTGACGCTGTGTGTCCACCAGAGCATCTTTTCTCCTGTCACACAGCTCCACATCAACACTTGCCCAGATCAGAAAATGCTGTGTTCAGGCAGGTGGAACATCCTGAGTGAAAAATAAATCTGATCTCTGATGTAATAATGTCTGAAAATAAACTGTGCACATTTAACACTCTTCCACCTGATCTACTTGTGCAAGTCCGTCTCACCACTAAGTGTTAAACAGGACGGACATACTGGACACTAGTGAAGGTGACTCTGGTGAAGGTTACTGATGATGTCATAACGTTACTGATGTTATAGAAGCTAACGTTAGCCATGATAGGTATTTTGTACGTTTAGTTTTAAGACTTTAACATGAATCAAATCAAACAGAGGAGTCACAGATACAGCACAGATGTGTCAGAGCTTATTTATGGTGTTGTTCACTTTCTTTGAGTTACATTTGGTTGTGACGTGACACAAATGTGTTGAACTCAAATCTCACAGTGTCAGAATGAAAACATGTCTCAGGTTTATCAGAGCATCTCACAGTAACTGACTGTGATCAGAAGCAGCTGTTTCCTCGAGGTTAAACACATGGAAACAGAACAAAACAAGTTATGCAAGAAGTCGATGTTTTAAATGACTCTTGATTTTATTTATTGGGCTGTAAATAGAGATGATGAAGTCTGCAGTCTGACTCCACTCTGAACTGAAGCCGACACTCAAGACTGAACAATGTCTGAGACTCTCACTGCACCCTTTCACTTTTCTCCTCTGTGTCCAATACAGACTTTGTTCTTATTAAAAAGAATAACAAATTTAATATTTAGTAACTTGTTAGTTTCATAAAATCTAAAATGCTGTGAGCTTCAGAAAGTATATTCACACTCCTCTGGAATAATCTTCAAACTATATATAATATATAAGCAATAGTCGTGGCTGGAGGCATTATGTTTTCAGGTTATCTGTCCTACCATCCCACTCTCATGAACACAATATCTCCAGAACAACTTGTGGGAATTTATTCAAATTTGGCCCAAACGTCCACTTTGAGGAGGATAAGTGATACGAATTTGGTGGTCAAAGGTCACTGTGACCCTCGTCTGTCTCATTTTTCATGAACGCGATATTGCGAGAAGGCACTGAGGGAATATCCTCAATTTTGGCACAAACGGCCAATTGGTCAAAGGTCAAGGTCACTGTGACCTCACAGAACATGTTTTTATGCCACCGCGCCAGCGATAGTTGTGGCCAAAGGCATTATGTTTTTGGGTTGTCTGTCCATCCTTACATCCCATCCTTGTGAACACGATATCTCAAGAAGGTCTTGAGAGAATTTCTTCAAATTTGACGCAAACTAGATTAGATCTTGGTGGTCGAAGGTTTCAGGTCAAGGTCATTGTGACCTCACAAAACATGTTTCTATGCCTCTGCGCTGGCGATAGCTGTGGCTGTAGGCTTTATGTTTCCAGGTGGTCCATCCATCAGTTCGTCCGTTCTGTCCTCCTATCTCAAGAACACTTCAAGGGAATTTCTTCAAATTTGGCACAAACGTCTGCTTGGACTCTACGATGAAATGTTTAGAATTTTGTGGTCAAAGGTCACTGTGACCTCATAGAACATATTTTTGGCCATGACTGAAGAATTCATTCACTAATTCTGACCAAACTTGACACAAATGTCTAACAGGATAAAATAATGAAGGTCAAAAGGTCAAAGGTCAGCTTGACTGTGACATCATCATGTTTTAACGTCATATCTCAGGAACAGAAGGGGAGACATTTGGTCAGATACTGAATTGGTGACTCTAATCTTGAAACTGTGCTGATTGTATAGATCTTCTGTGTGTGAAGCATCCATGTTTTCACTGACATGGATGGAGACTGTCAGAGACACTGGACTGGTGGGCGGAGTCATACAACCACAGGGTGGACTGGTGGGCGGAGTCATACAACCAGGGGGCGGTGACTCTAGTTGCATTAATGGTCAACAGGAAGTCAGTGTTGTGAGGTTTTCTGCAAATACAGGAGAACAAAACCAGCTGTAAACGAAAACATCATGGGGAAGTGCCACTATAGCTAAAAAATATTTTTTAATCAGCCTGTCAGTAACAGCTGTATGACACCAACATGTGTAACAACCTCTGCATGTGTTTGCAGGACCATCCTGAGAGACAGCGGCTTCTTCCGTTACCTCCACACGGCGGTGATCGTGAGCGGAACGATGCTGGTGTTTGGAGGAAACACGCACAACGACACATCCATGAGCCACGGTGCCAAGTGCTTCTCCGCCGACTTCCTGGCCTACAGTCTGGGTCAGTACCACACACACACACACACACACACACACACACACACACACACACACACACAGCAGCTCCTGCAGTCTCAGCCTCACTCAGAGTTTATCTGCTAAGCATGCATCATCTTTCCTCCTGTGTGCTGAGCTGCTTTACATTCACACAGTGGCACACACACACACACACACACACACACACACACACACACCTGGGAGCTGCTCAGTACAGCTGCAGTATTTTGTTGTCGGACACTGAGCGGCTCCAGTGGAGCAGCAGAAGGTCAGATGTCGGCGCTCGATGTACACAGGCGGTAAAGCGCAGCCTCTTTCCATACATATTGCTCTGAATAATGTGCTGTGAAATTCTCCTGCAGTGTTTCTGTAACACCTCGAGGCAGAGCGCGCTCGTATGTGACATGATTTTCAGGGATAGAGGAAGTGAAGCAGAGTCTGTTGGAAGTTACTTATTTTTGATTTCATGGTTTATTTATGTGCATATTAATGCTGCTGTGTGCCGGAGCGGCTGGTCGCGCTCGTCGTCTGGAGAATCCAAATCACTGGACTGGAGCTGTGAATGAAGATGTTTCCTGTCTGTGCACAGTTTGTCTTCAGTCTAATCTCCAGTTCATCTGTTTGGATTCAACTGATGACATCATCACCTGGATAATAGAGAGGAACCTTCACAGACAAAAGACATGGTCAAAAGTTTGTGGTAGAGATGTACCGATACCACTTTTTCCTTCCCAATACCGATTCCGATCCCTGAACCTTAGGTATCTGCCGATACCGAGTACCGATCCGATACCAGCGTGTAACATAAAAATGGATGGGATATGAATTGTTGTATGTCTCAACTCCTAAAACTCTGTTTAAAATATTAAGAAATAAATACATAATAGTAGAATGAATGCCATAGAACTTTTTATTATTATTATCCAGTGGTGACACGGATCAAGACACAGAATAAAGTGCAGCCGTATGCGTAATGACGTGAGGCATTACGTGGTATCAGATTGGTCATATTTATTTATATTGGTCTGGTTTAGCTCCAACTAAGAGAAATCTTAATGCTACAGCACAGAAATATATTTTAGACCACAGTGAATTTCCAAGTTTGTGGCACCAGTTGAACTTCCTGTTTCAACCTGACAAAGCCCCCGTGCACAGAAAGAGGATGGTTTTCCCAGTTTGGTGTGGAAGAACTTGACTGAGCTCTGACCAGGACCTTTTTCAACATTATTGCAGGGTTTGAAAAACCATGTGCGTATGCACGGTAGTGTATGTACAAACTGAGCTGTGCACAGCATTCTCTTCGGTGTCCCACAGCGTTGGTGTTACAACATATGCTGCCCTGAAATGTGGTTGGTTTCACCGTGTTCATGAGCAGAGTCCATATTAACGTCCCCTCTTGTCTTATTAACAACCTTCAAATGGAACTTGGGAGCTTGTTTTAACAACTTGACGTGCGTTTCATGTTGTATTCTGTACCGTGCAGTGTGCACATACTGCCTCTATTATGTTAGGCACATGGATGTACTGTCGTCTGCACTGCACCTTAAATTATTTTTATTTATTGCATCTACTAGTTGTGTGTAGGACTACAGATGGGAATTAGCATTTCGCTAAATCTAGTGCAACCATGTTTTCATTTCTTGTAAATATTTCATGTCATTGCACACTGTCCTCTTCAAATCAAATAAACCAAACTAAACATGTGAGGTTGTAAACACCACAAGACGTTCATATGAACTCTTCTCATGAACTCATTAAACTCAACCTCATTTGAACGCAGCATTTCTGACAGTTCACATGTTGGAGTTATGACGTGTTTGATGATCTTCGTAACTTTAGAATATGTCAGAGGAAAATGTTGATATTCTCAACAACCTCATCTTTTGCCTCTGTCATGACGCTTTCCTTCTGCGTTCCCTGCGTTACTAAACTGCTCGCCTCAGTGGCTTCTAGATGTCGACAGTAACGTCTGTGTTGCTGCTGTGTTCTCACAACTTAACCACTTGAACACCGAGTTAATCATGTACATACGACTTACTATATTGTAACCACGAGCTCATGAGCGCCATTTGGAGGCAGAACGACAATAATATCTGCCATGATAGTTTTCTGGTTGACAGTAGACGGAGGCGTCAGGGTTCGGTTTACATCCAAAAACTTAACGCTCTTTGATGTTTACTGTGGAAACTCTCACGATGCTAACGCTAACTCTGCTCTGTGTATGTGACGGTTCAGGTTTCTTTGCTGGTGTCGGTATGTGTTTCCTGTATTAGACAGTGACTGGCTCTAGTATCATTAATTAATGTAGCTGCCTGGTGTTTGTTTGAATCTCAGGTTGTAGGGACGTGCACAGACAGCGCCCCCTTCAGTAGAGGAGTGTGAAAACACCTCTGTGGTGTCAAACGTTGCACAGACACAGAGCAGGAGAGTCGAGGTCAGACATTTTAGGGGACATAAAGAGAAGTTTATGGGTGGAGGAGGATTTTAACAAACAAACACAGACAGAAGATGTTTTTCATTCTGCTCCTTCTTCGTGCAGACACACATGATGAGGTCGTTCTCTGTGTCTGCTGGTGAGCGGCGGTGTGACACAGACTGAAGGTGAAGTATCTTGATTAAGGGCACCTCAGCAGAACACAGAGCACAGGAATAAACATCAGAGCCTCCAGATTACGTCCCCAAAGCACCACGTGTGAATCCCTCACCGACTGGTTTGGTGCTTCTATTATTGAGCTGTGATCACTTTGTATTTACCTTCGCTGAGGACTCCTCGGGGAGTCGAGTGTGAACTGTAGCTCGAGGGGACAGAATCTGATGTCACAACTTCCCCCCAAAGACTCGACTCTTCTTTACAGTACAAACGTGAACAAAACACAGACATCAGTCGCTCTAAGAAAAGATTATGGGATGTATTTCAGGCTTCAACCTGCTCACAGGGGCGTTTGTTTTGAAGGTTAAAGTAATGATGTCCTGATCTGATCTCAGAGAGGGTTGCAGTGACAAACCAGTTTTCAGGTATACCCTGATATTTAAATTGACGGTTGTCATACCATGGACATTTGTTTACCCACGATATTTAAATTAAAAAACATTAAAAAATGCAACTAAACAGAGAATCACAACTTTATTTTAGTTATTTTCTAAGGGGAGACTTTTTACACAAACTTCCACTTAAAAAATGGTATAGTAATAGGAATATTTATATTTGATCTGATCTGATGAGCCGCGCTGCTCTGAAACAGCTGACTAGGCCGATTGTACCTGATACCGCCGTGTAATCTTCCTTTAACCTGCAGGATATTCTGATGTGTTCATGCAGCCGTTCTCACTGCGCTTCATCCAGAAAATACACCAATCGAAACCGAAACAATGACAACAAAAACCTCTGGAGGTATTAATCCAAATAAATACATGTGTATCCAAGTACTGCCGAGCTCCACTGGCGCAGCTTTCATTAAAGACGCCCCGCCTTCAGTTCAACAAATCGTGCGCAAAGAATTGTGGGTACTTTATACCCGCTGAGGATACACACATGCATCCTTGGGGGATCCTTGACTTTGGAACAGTCCTTGGGCAGGATTTGGTGATGTAGCCTCCTTGAAATTTAGCAGTTTAAGGCCATGGTTCCAAACTGTGCAGACACAGACTCCAGATTTCTCTGTAGTCATTAGTTTAAGGTCCACACAGTGTAATATATTCAGTGTCACACTCGTGTTCAGCCATGTCATCGAGATAGTTTGTTGTCTCTCATTCAGAGTGGACCTGCGTCCCACTTTGGGACCACGACCCACCAGTTGGGAACCACAGATTTAAGGATCCTTCCTTGAATTTGAGAAACATGAAATCGCACAGAAAGCTCTCCAACAACACCACGTATTTCCCATAAAGTCATGTTTTATGTTTCATTTTCTTCTTCAGTTTTGGTCGTTGTAAAACTGATCTTAAATTTCATTACAAGAAGCATTAATAAAAGTCTTTAAACATCTTAAATCTAACTGTCCTCCAGCTGCAGGAGCCTCGAGAGTATTTTAACAAACTGAAAAAGGAGTCTGGAGGAGGACTTTAAATACGACAACCAAAAGTTTATTGTGGATGGAGGTGTACTTCTCCTGCATTCTGATTCTCATCCCATTTAAACTTGTCTGATTTGTCCTAATAGAAGTGAGCAAAGCTTTGTCAGAAGCAGTCCTGGCATCCTCATTGTGTTAGCTGCCTGCAAATATTGTTGTAAATTGAGTCGACCTCCTTCGGCAGCGCTGTCATAAGCTGCTCATTAATGGGAGGCTTCAGTGTGGAGGGAGGGAGGGAGAACTCCCTGCAGGCTGCGAGATGGCCCCAGGACATTCTGTTTTTCTGTGTCATTACCGAGATGATTGACAGGCAGCGAAATTACAATCTCAGGGGCACAAGCAACCCCCCCCTCCCCGCCCCGCCCCTCCCCTACCCGCCCCTCCCCTCCCTGTGCAACCAGCTTTTGTTCATGAGAATTGCATGTTGGGACTGAAACATCTCCAACAGACGTCCCTCTGTCAGTTATTTTGGAGGAGCAGCAGCACATGTAGAGGCGTCACGTTCATTTAACTCTGTCCCATTTCTACATTTACCACAGGTCCTCTCTTGATCGGTGTAATGAGACTCTCACACCAGTCACCGCGGGAAACAAATTGTTTTCATGATTTCCCTGGAGAGTTCACGTTTGAGTCGAACTTTAGAAATTAAAAACTTTAAGTATTGTTGTCTCCCCTCCCCCGGCTCTCCCCTGTCTCCCCTCCCTGCCACTCCTGATCCTCTGTATGATTTTGTAATTGGACAGAAAAGACTAGTCGACTATTTTCCTCGCCCTCCGCCCCCCCCCCCGGCAGCCAGCTGCAGGGTCGGTGTCAGCAGCAGCAGCTCTGTAATTGTCTGGTAATTACAGCTGAGATGGGCTCTGCGTCAAGGACTAATCGCACCTCCTTAACAAGCTGAACTCAATTAGAGCGCAGAATTTAAGGGCCGTCCGCT